CTCCTGCCTCAGCCTCCCGACTGCTGGGATTACAGGCATGCGCCACCACGCCCGGCCCGAGTAATTTTTTAAAAAATGTAAACCTTACTATCCATTTCATAGCTGCAGAGGCCTCCCATAGCTCCGAAGGCGGTGTTTTTTGTCTTTCCTTCTGTCCAAGACACTGTGCGGGTTGAAGTACCCGGCTCCCCTTACCCTCCCACGCCCCAGGGGCGTCTCCGTGCTAAGCCAGCATCCTACTGCTGAGCCATCCCTCAGAGCTTCTACGTTGCACTCAGCATTTTTTGAATTAGAATCACTAATTGGGTGGGATATTAAGGAGATATTTAAAAGTGCCTATTTGATGTCGCAGCATGGGATGATTCTCGCTGAAAAAAAGAGGACAGCTGCTGCCCTCACTTTCATACCGTCAAGACTGAATACATTATTACCGTGTTTGTGTACATGATTACAGTTTAGAAGTTAACAGGGAAAAATGGCAACAATTGCTACTATCATCAGGCGTTAAGTACATATCTCTTAAATACTTCGTTTAACCATTTTATAAAACAATTCTTTCTGAAAACGACGCAGCTGGGCGTGGTAGCGCAAACCTGTAATCTCAGCACTCTGGGAGGCTCAGGCAAATTCGAGAGGTAATTTAGCAAGAGCCTGTCTCTTTTTATCTCAAAATAAAAAAAGTTAAGGGCTGGGGATTTAGTTCAGGGCGAGGGCCCTGTGTCCCATCCCTAAGGGCGGGGTGGAGTGCGAGTGGCGAGGAGCAAAGGGCCTTTCTCTGCTTTCTACTGTCACTCCCTTCCGCTTGTCCTCTGCCTCCTCACAAGAAGGCGACCGGTCCCACCCGGCCACCGTCCAAAGGGTGGCCCCACCCAACGCCAGCACGAGGCGTGACGAACCACTCCCTGGACTCCCGGCGTTCCCCCCACCCCACTTCCTCCCTCCCGGCCCCGCCCCGCGCGTGTGCGCCTGCGCACCGGCGAACACGTGGCTGCCGCGGAGTCAGAGCAGCAATGGCGGCGGGTGGCGGCGGTAGCTGCGACCCCCTGGCCCCGGCGGGGGTCCCTTGCGCCTTCTCTCCGGAGAGACAGGCCTACTTCGCTTTGGCCTCTACCGACGGTCATCTGCGAGTGTGGGAGACAGCCAATAACCGGCTGCATCAGGAGTACGTGCCTTCCGCGCACCTCAGCGGTACCTGCACCTGCCTGGCCTGGGCGCCACCGCGGCTGCAGGCCAAGGTAGTGCTAGCGGGGTGGTGGGGGGAGAGGGCGCCCGCCCGGGCCCAGCTTTAGCAATCTGCGATGGGCGGCGCGTGTCTGAGTGCCGCGCGTGGCCTTCGGCGGCCCGGGGCTAGGTGTGGAGCGTGGCCGCCGCGCGCGCTGGGCCCGCACCGCCGCCCCGCGTGCGGTCTGTCCGGCGGGCAGCGAGAGGGCGCGGCGTGATCCGGCGGGCTCCATGCGCTCTGCGCCCCATTGCCGCTGGGCCGCCATGATCGCCGAGCCCCCTGTCTCCCCGGCGGTGGCTTCCTGCTGCCAGGCCTCGCTCGGCGGCGTGCGCTCATCCGAGCCCTGGCTTTTGACGAGTCCCAGCGTGCTACTGTACTGTGCTTTCTCATGCCTGACCCAGCGTACTGGGTTTGCTTTGGTCAGTTGGAAAGCGTAAGTTTTTTCTTGCTTCTGGGACCTCTCTCCGCGGGGTGCCAGCTCAACATGTGTTCTCCACGTCCAGGTAATGGGACTCCCAGTCCTTACAAACTCTTGACTTTCCCAGGCTCTTTCTCATTCTCACTCTTGTGAATCTTTTATTTCATTTTTAAGTTCTGTTCTGTTCTTTCACATTCCCCCTCCCCCGTTCTGAATTTTGCAGTTAGGATATGGACATGAAGTAGTAGCCTAACTTAATGAATTTGTGATGTAAGTGCAGGTGGAGTTTCCCTTAGATGAGAAACTGCCGAGTTAAGGAAGCCTTTGCACTTTGAGGTAGATGCCACTCACTTTTGAGTCACTAGATTGTATCTACTCAAATTCAAACGCACGTGGTTACTGCGGTTATTAAGTAACCAAACTGATAGAGGTAAATTTTATTTGGAAGAATTAGGTATTCTAAAGTGTGTGACATTTTGCTGTAACTGTGTGTAAATTTTTTTTTTTTTTGGTCTTTTTGAGACAGGGTCTTGCTATGCAGTTCAGGCTGGCCTTGTCCTCACTTTGTAGCCCAGGCTGGTCTCGAACTCAAGCGATCCTCCTGCCTCAGCCTCCCAAGTGCTGGGATTACAGGTGTGCGCCACAACGCCCGGCTGTGTGTAAAATTTTAAAATCTTAATTCGACTCACAGGAAATTTTTAAGTTGAAAGTGGGAATACATCTGACTTGCTGTATACTTCGTGTTGTGTAGATACTGTTAGGATTTTTACCTACATTTTCATAGTTTCTCCTGTTGACTAATAATATTTATCAGGGCTCATTAAGTCTTGCACAAAACTCATAATTGTAAGAAGAAAGGCCATAATTGTCATTATTAGAATTATACATTGCCTATTTTTTCATTTTATTTTTTAAAATTAATTTTTTTTTTTAGATTTTGAGACAGGGTCTCACTGTGTATTTCTGACAGGCCTTGAACTCGGTGTAGCCCAGGCTGGCCTCTCGTTAGAAGTGATCCTCCTGAGTACCGGGATTACAGGCATGTGCCACCATACCCGGCATATATTTTTCCATTTCAAAGTTATGTTCTATGTAGCTTAACATTCTTGTAAAGTAACAGTAATACTAATGCTGAGAGAAATGTGGAACAATGCTTAGGGAGGCTAACCCAGTCTGTCCAGACTGCAAGGCTATGCTTGAGTCTGTGCTCTGCTTTCTAGCAGTAATTGTGCATTTAGTTTCCCTTTTATAAAATGAAATTGTGCCGTTAGTTTCCCTTTTATAAAATGAATAGCAGCACATACTTCACAGAAAGCATCTAGAATAGTTATTGGTGTATAAGTGCTTTGAGTGTTAAGTATTATTGTTACTAGTATTTTATATTTGTATAGTTAGTACTCTGGGGTATGTAAAACAAGCAACTTGTAAAAGCCAAAAGTGGAACCAAGGATAGAACTCAGGTCTTTAAGACTCAGTTGTTGGCTATCTGCAACAAATAGTGTTAGGTTGGCTAAAATTTGTCACTTGCTTTGCTTTTCTGTTGATTTCCCATCACATTGTGTGCCTAGAAATGAAACTTTCTCCTAGTCTTTACTTTTGGGAAGGTGTCATTGAAAAATGAAGAGTCGGTCTCTGTAAGAAAGTGGTGTGCTGGGAATGTAGTGCAGCAATAGAGCATGTGCTTAACATGTCTCTGTCAGCCTTCCCATGTGAAATATTGATAGGTTTCAGTTTCTTTTTAATCTGTGTGCATTCCTTTCAGCCACTTAACTATGAAATGCCCTAAAATTATTCCCTTTTTTTGGAGACAGGGTCTCACATTCAGGCTGGTGTTGAACTCATAACAATCCTACCTCAACCTCCTGAGTGCTGAGGTGTGTGCCACCATGCCCAGCTCGATATCACCCACCTTTTAAGGTCCTCAGGATTAAATGAGGCAATATATATGTCTGGTCTAGTAATGCCTGGCACATGATAAGTACCCAGTAAACACTGGTTGTTAGTACTGAATGAATCAATGAGTGTTCTGTCTGGACTTGTTTAATTTTGTATTCACTAATGTAAATCAATTAATAATTGCATCTGGTTTAGTAATTGGTATTTTACCAATCAAGGACAGATAGAATGTGTGATGAGACACTTGTTATCAATAGAGAAAAATTTGTGCTGAATTTCTTGGCTAATATGTTAATGTAGTGGTTCATAAGTGTTCAGAAAAATTAGATCACCTTTTTTCCTGATTACACGATTATAATACTTTGCCTTTGTGCCACAGTAGTTTTAGAGTTTTTCAGGTTTATATGTGTAAACAGTCTCAGATGCTAAATGACAGGCCAGAGCCACACAGTAGGTGTCTGAGTCACCTAGGAACTGGTCCTGTTTCATTGCTCTCCTAAGTGTCTCCGACTTTTGTGCTTTCTTTCCCTTCTGGCTGTACAACCCTGGAGGAACAGTCCTTATCAAGGGTTGGCTGCTTTGCTGTGATTACAGTTAACATGATTCCAGACAGATTAGTACTTGTGGATTGAAGCATATGGCATTTCAGACATTAGAGAGGGCCAGCAGTGTGGCATTAAGGGCATTTCTAGGAACAACCTGAGGTGAATATCCCCATTCCTATCTCTTAGAGGCGTAGCACAACTCAGGTGTTTCCTGTACTGTTTGGAGATCTCAAGTATTTAAACTTCAAAAGAAGGTAAAGGTGGCAGATTAGATCTGATTGGCAGAAATAGAAGTTTCTATGTATTAGAATTTGTTTTAATGTAATTATTGTTTATAATTTTATGTATATAGTTTTTTCACTGAACCATATGCTAGACTAAGTGGCAGTAAGCTAGGCTAAGGAATGCATAAGAATACTTTCAGAGTGACACTTAAAACTTGGGCATTGTTTTCAGTGTCTAGAAGTAAGTATTTTTGAGAAGTAGGTTTTTTTTTGTTTTTCTTTCAGTACCAGGAATCGAACTCACAACCTTGTGCTTGCCAGGCAGGCGCTGTGCCACTGAGCTAAATCCCCAGCCCTTAGAGAAGTAGGTTTTGATCTACTGGTAGATTGTGAAATTTAGTGGGTTGTGACAACATTAAAAAAGAAACAGTGGAAAATACTAGAATATTACTCATGATAAGGATAATTCTTTTCTGTGGAACTTGTTTCATTCATATGTGAAAATGTTTTTTATGAATGAAATAGTTCCATATATAAAAACTTACACACTGGTATTTTTGGTCAAAAAAGTTATTGCTTGCTGGGCATGGTGGCACATGCCTATGAATTTGAGGCCAACAAGACTAGGTAGTAAACTCAAGGCCAGTCTGAACTACATAGTGAGACCCTGTCTCAAAAGTTATTGTTTAATTGCTGATCAAATTCAAACTTCTCCTGACCTAGCTGTGCTTTTTCTCCCTTCTGTCTTCGCCTTACTTATACTACTCCCTTCTGTTCTGATTCCTGCCTGGTAAGTTTTCTTCAGATAGGTTTTTGGTATTTATTGCTTAGGTCAGTCTGCCCTTCAGGTTGGAAAAGACTCCTTAGTCTAAGACAGCACATCCTTTTAATCTTCATTCCTGGTGCCTTCACTTAGATTTTACAGTAACAAATACATGAACTGAATTCTCCGCCAAGCTCTCTCATTACAGGTACATATTTATGTGTATAATCAATTGGCATGTGGCATTGGCACTTTAGAGAAGCAACTGAATATGACTAAGATGTAAAGAAAAAGTAGTTCAGATTCACTGTGCCTGACTTAGGTCTTAAGTGAATGAAGAGATTTCTGTGTAGGAGAGGAGAGGGTGTTTAGGGTGAACATTGAAGCATTGGTAGGATTCTCAATCAAGGAAAATAGAAGTACGTAGGAAAAGCCCCCTCCAGGTAAAGGGAAAAGCAAAATGAGAAAATATATTTGTGTTTAGGGAGTGATCAAAGGGTAGATTAGAATTCTTAGCACTGACCTCTTGATTTTAGAGATTTTTAGTATGAAAGAGTAGTTAAATATTAGATTTCACTAAAATACACGTCTGTACATGCTCATTCTGCTGAATGGGGAGTTACTTTTAAAAACACGTCCAACCCTGAACAACACACAAGTCAGTAGTTGAAATGAAATTAATTGGCCTATTTAGGTTTAGGCCAGTGAGCCTCAGAAGTTGCACATAAATCCTGTGGACATTTCCTTCAACCAGTTTTGCATCTTTTTTTTGAGGGGGGCAGTTTGGAGTTTTTGTTTTGTTTTGTTTTTCTTCTGGTACCAGGAATCAAACTCACGATCTTGCGCTTGCCAGGCAGGCGCTGTACCGCTGAGCTAAATCCCCCGACCCCCAGTTTTGCATCTATAACAAAGTAGATTCCTCAGGTAAGGAGATTAGGACTTTGGTGATGTTAATGTTTAATTTTTAAATTTATTAGGTGCTTTTTAGTGCAAATTCACATATGTATAAAGCAGGTACTAGCTGGGCGTGGTGATGCATGCCTGTAATCCCAGCACTCAGGAGGAGGATCATTGCAAGTTTGAGACCCACCTGAGCTACAAAGTGACCTCAAGGCCAGCCCGAACTGCATAAGTGAGACCCTGTCTCCAAAAGATCAACTAGCTAACTAACTAAATAAAGCAGGTACATGTTTGGACCAGCCTTTCTTTTGCACAGTGAGAAACTTTGATGTAGATGATTGGGAAACTCAAAAATAGAAATATTTTCTGGACTCTTATGGAGGGGGCACAGCATTGGGGATTGAACCCAGGGACTTTGCACTGATGTACATTCTCTACCCTTTATTGATTGATTTTTAAATTACTATTTGTTGAGACAGCATCTCACTGTGTAGTCCAGGCTGGTCCTGAACTTACTTGTGTAGTCCAGGGTGGCCTGCAGTGATCCTTCTGCCTCAGCCTCTCCATTGCTGGGCTTGCCAGCATGTGCCACCATACTTTGGCTTTCCAGCCCTTTTAAAAATCTTTTATTTTGAGATAGTGTCTCGCTGAGTTGCCTGGGCTAGGTTTGAATGTCATTCTCCTGCCTCAGTCTCCCAGAGTATTGGAATTACAGGTTTGTGTTACCAAGCTTAGCCTTTTCTGAATTCTTTCAGAGAAGAGCTTTTTGAAAAGGTAACACAGAAGATCTTTTTTCTGCAATGTTTAGGACTAGAAGTGTTTCAGAATTCAAAATTTAAAGAGCCTTAGATTTTAGAATGTTTTTGTAGACTTTCCCTGTTTGAGCATCCCTAATCGGAAAGCTGATCTGAACTAGAATTTCAAATTTTTGGAGTAGGGATGTTTGAACTATAGTAGGTTAGTATTCTTCTTATTATCCTTTCACGCAATGTTTGTGTTCATAACTTTTACACCAAAGTGCTAACATTTGCCCTCTGGGATCTTTGAAAGGCAGCTTGCTCCCCCTGCCCCACAGGGTCTCACTATGTTGTTTAGGCTGGCCTCGAAGTCAGTAGGTAACCTAAGCTGTCCTTGAGCTTGTGGCGATCCTTCTGCCTCAGCCTCCTGAGTGCTGGGATTACAGATGTGTGCTAGCAGGCCTGGCTGACAGCAGCTTTAGATACTTGTATATGGTGTGTGATAGAAATACATGGCGAATGTTGAAATTTTTTTAAAAAATTTATTACAGTAAAATACATATTGCCATTAATCCCCCTCAAAATACTCCTTGTTTCATACACACTTTGTTGTTCTTGCCTCTTTGTAAAGCAGTTCTGGAAGTTTTTTTTAATGTTTGTATGAGGTGTAATGAGAAATACAGTGAATGCTGCTGTCAGGGCCCTCCAGCACAAAGGCAGGCTTAAAAACATATGGTGCATCCTCATCCACCCTGTTCATTGGAGTTGGCACCATGGGACTTCAGGGTCTTCCCCAAAGTCAAGATGACCATGAAAGGAAAACATTTTGAGTGGATTTGGGACATAAAGGCAGTCATAATGGTACAAATAAAGGTGCTTATGAAAGAGGACTTCTAGAACTGCTTTACAATGTAGCAGGAAGGAGCGGGTAAGTGTGTTTGAAGAGCTGAAGGTGGGGGGAGTATCTTGAGGGGAATTAACTGCAGTCTGTTATTGTTATTTAAAAACCAACATTCACTGTACTTTTTGATCAAGAAGCATTGAAGGAGGATCCTAGGGCACCTAACGCAGAGTTTTCAATGTCTCAAGCAGGTGAAATGTTACTGTTGAGACTGTTCAAAATTTATACTATGGCTTTCAATTGTAACTTCTCTTTTGGGTTTATTAACAGGAAAACATGCTAAGGATTTGGATAAGGAAAACTTGCTAAGGATTTGTAGAATGTTACTGCTTTCTGTAAGAAGAAACTTTTGTTAAATCTTCTTGGGTTTTGTTTACCTAAGTGTCTAGTCAAGTTCATCAAATGTAACATCCCTCTAAAATAACTAAAAGAAAAAATGGAAAGTGCTTTAGAAGCTTACTCTGCTGTTTACACATTGGTAACTTTGTAGCTTTTCATTTGGTGGTTCTTGGTTTTATTCTTTTTTGCTTGCTTTTTTTTTTTTTTTTTTT